GCATGCGTGGGCTCCTTGAACCAACCAAAATGTATCTTCGGTATCTCCCCCACCACTTTGTCTAAAACCTATAAAAGGTTCAACTCTCACTTACTCTGGGCTCTCAGCACGGATCCGTTGAGTTGGTGAGGTCTGAGAGCCCGAGCTTAAGCCCGAATAAACCATAAACGTTTGCTTTTGCATTTTGGTGTGTTGGGTCCTCGGTGGTCTTCTTGGGGTCCAGTGGATGAAGTACAACATTTGGGGGCTCGTCCGGGACCGCCCCAGAGACCTCCGAGAGGAACCGACCCCAAAAGGTTTGTGATCAACCAGCCAGGTAAGTTTTTGTAAAACTGTGTTTGTCCACCTGTCTTTTTGTCCGCCTGTCTTTTCTATACTTTCCCTTTGGTCGCGGCCATCTGATCTCAGTTTTTTGTCACTGGAATGCTAGCAAGGCGACCGGAAGGATTCAGGAGACGTCCCTGGATCTCAGTTTTTTGTCACTGGAATGCTAGCAAGGCGACCGGAAGGATTCAGAAGACGTCCCTGTCCTTGTCAGAGTGGGTGTTCCCCACCAGACACCCCACCAGGACACTAGTCCATCTGAAACCTCAGAGGACCTCGCGACCCTGTTGGGACACACGAGTCCTATCCGTATGGTCTTTGGCACAATCGAGCCAGGCAATCCACACAGTCAAGAGTCCAGACCATCTGAAAGCCACGGTAGTTTAATTTGGGCCCTCTGTCTGTCTGTGTCGTGTCTTGTGATCTTCGTTCTAATTTCTTTGTTGATGAAACAGACGGGACTGACAAATACTATGGGCAACACCCCATCTTCCCCTCTTGATCTTACTCTAGTCCACTGGGGGGACATTAAGACGATTGCCCATAACAATAGTGTAGATGTAAAGAAAAAGAAATGGACAACTTTATGTTCAGTTGATTGGCCCTCCTTCAATGTTGGATGGTCCCCTGAAGGGACTTTTAACCTGAGTTTGATTTCCAGGGTAGAGGACCACGTCTTCCACTCATGTACAGGCCACCAGGACCAGATCCCATACATCATGACCTGGCGAGGTCTCATCGAACGACCTGATGGCCCCCCTCCTGGGTCAAGTCCTTCCTTCCCCTGATTAATCCAACTTCTCCCCCTCCACCTCTGCAGGACATCTTTCCCCCGTCCTACTCCTCTCAGACAGGCACCCCACCAATGGCGCCACAAGTGCAGGCCCTGCCTCCTAACCCTGAGGAGCCACCATCACTTCCACAGGGACCTGCGCAGGCCACACAGAGCCGGAGGGGGGCAGCCCTCCAGCCTGACACCATTGTCCTCCCCCTCCGGCCGGTGGGGCCCCCAGATGGAGAGGGAAATCAGCCCTTTCATTACTGGCCCTTTGCCACCAGTGATCTTTACAATTGGTGCTCACAGAATGCGCCTTTCTCTGAAAACCCCAGGGACTTGATTAACTTATTGGAAACTGTTCTCTTCACTCACCAGCCCACCTGGGACGATTGCCACCAGCTCCTGAGTGTCCTGTTCACTACTGAGGAGTGAAACAGAATCCTGGAGGCAGCCCGGAAGTTGGTTCCGGGCCCCACTGGGGACCCTAACACAGACCCAGGCATCATTAATGCCAGCTTTCCCCCTAGCC